CCCTCTCTCTCTCTCTCTCTCTCTCTCTCCCGCTTCTCGTTATGCGCGCGTTTACTCCAATCGGCGACTATTACGCAAGTGCCTCGCAAGCGAAAAGGATAGACTCTGCCTCGTAAGGTAAGACGCGAGAAAATTATAACGTAATCGTTTCATCGCACGCAACACACGTTAGAGGCAAAGGAGGATCGAAACGTGTATCATCTACTCTCGAAATTCTTGCCTTTTCGTGCCGGCTGGCGGCGGACCCGCGTCGCTATCGGCCGCGAAATAAATCACAGAATCAATTCTGATACATACCGGGTGGCGCCATAAATAAAAGTGCGGGGGCGCCAGAGATACCGCGCCGTAGATCGCGATGTCTGTTACGTATAACGGGGGTGGAGGCCGGGCAGGGGGTGAGGCGACGGAAACAAATGACAGCGCATAAGCGGGTGGAAACACTCGAAAGTCGGTTGCCGCGACACGGGCCGACACGGTGGTCGCGCGGAATTTGAAATTCAAAGCGTCCGGGGAAAGCCGGCCGATAACCGAGGGAAAGGGAGACAGATAGGCGAGAGACGAAGAACGAACGCGGGCCGCACGGCCGCGGAACCAGGGGCAAAAATACACATTAGCGGATTTGAAATTTAGATAGACCGGCTGTGACCCTCATCCACCCCCCCTCCCTCTGAAATTGAGCGATTCTCGCGAAAACAGGCCGATTTGCGGGCAGCGGGAGCTCGTGCTGCCCCTACACGCTGCGCGTGTCTCGAAACGCCTGATTCCGAGGCCTGATCGATGTTACGTGCGCGAGGTCCACTTCTTCTGACCTCGTTCACCCTCATCGTGCACGGAGCGGTGTATTTTTGCCAACGAGTCGCCGCACGGTCCGCATTCGTTCCACGTTGATCTACATTGAGCGCGAGCGCGAGGCGGCGCCCTAAATGCTAGCCGTGCCGTGGATAACATCGGGCATCCCCCGGCGCTCGCCACCCCCAGTACGAGCGTACTTGTTTGTACTTACTTGTCATGTATGTGATGTAGTGCGAGTCGCTGATGTTTCCTGAAAGAAGCTCGTTGAGTCAAGTCGTACGTAACGTCCCGGCGACGTATCGCGCGAGCCCAGACATGGCGCGCGTGCCTTTCCGTTATACGGGTTACGAACACCATGATACCTCGTTTTCCTCGTCATTATCTCGATGTACTGACTCGTGAAAGTGCATCGATGAGGACGTGCACGTTTCCGTTCCACGAACGACACAGTCGAGGCTTCTCGGATTTTTTTTTTTAGAAATTAGATAGCACGCCTCTATTTTTAGAAATTAGATAATCGCCTCTATTTTTTCGCTACTCTAATTTATTAGTTTGCAACGGAAATTAATCACATGTATTCGCACATTGATTTCTCCGCGAAGACACATGTCTAAACTCATATAGATAAGATTAATAACACGTAAGTTAAGAATCTCGCCCCAATTTTTGCATTTACCGCTATAAGTATACGTATCTGATCAAGTTCAACAATAGGGAGTAAGGAGTATACGCGGAGCTTTCGATATCCCTCTCAAATTTCATCGCCATACCACGTCGACTTCGGAGCCATGAAGGTACGTCATCGACACGCGACTTGCATCCCTCGATAACACAGTCGCGCTCTCGAGAGCCGTGTCGATCTCCTCCGACTTGGAATATTCGCGTGTGTGAAAGCATCGGGGCATGGCACGAACCCTCGGGAGGCCACGAAAAGGGATCGTGGGGCGAGAGACGATCAATGGGTGGTAGGGATGTTTGGTGGTTTGCGAGGGACTTGGTCGCTGGCTGTCGTGAAAGCTCTCGGAAAAGCGTGAAAGCGCGAAATACGTTTCGCATGCATTCCCGTTTCGAGGAACATAACCGTCGCCGTCGATGGTGATCGTGATATTTTTATGCTCGATGTTTAGTATTCATTCTTGTATGATCGTCCAACGTTACCTCGTGTTCGCGCGAATAAATGAATCGTTAATGGCGCGCTTTAAAATTCAAAGTATCCGCGCGCTGCGAGGAATTAAGCGAAAAATTATATCTTGCCAAAATTATACGGCAGAATTGTACAATTTATTTTTATTCTTGAAATTCTAGTCCTATTATTCTATTATTCACAGTTATATTGTACCGAATTAAGGATTGTATTTAAAATAGAGATTCGATAACAGAATTTTATTACTAAATCCTATCCAGATTAAATCTATATTCTAAATATACATTTTAATTTATTATTATCTCGCTTTTCAAACGTAATTTCTGATTCTTTATTATAAAATGTAAAAAACGTAATAATAATCATAATATTAAAAATACTGCGGTTATACCGTTGTAACGTTTATATTTTTCAAAAATCCAATATTAATCCCGTTCGTTTAATCGTGCTCTTGCGCACTCATCGTTCCTTAATTCGCGTTATAAAATTTATCTGCTTTGCTTCGGTCGGCCACAGACCCATCGCCGCGAGACGTAATAATATTCAAAGACATATGTAATCCACTCTGCAGCACCACTTTTCGTAATAACGCAAACGCGTTCCTCCATGCGTGAAGCTTTTCCGTAGACAAACAGGCGGATGCATCCCGAGATACGCAATCGTGATGTCGCCATTTCGGCGCGGCACGTCAACCAAACCACTGTTATTCCGTCTTGTTTGCCGAGCTCTCGTCGACGATACGTCGCGTCGTCTCTCATCGTCGAAGAGAATTCCCACGAACAGAACGGAATATTAATTTGGCGAGATTGTGCGAGAGAAGGTATCGGGGCACGCCTGTCTCTTCTCTCAGACGAGTCCCCGGTGGATGTAAATTAACTTTGAGAAACAATCTTGTCGTTAACTTGGCGTATAATAACGCGGGCGTGGTATCGCTGTGCTCCTGCCCTTTCGCACCCTTCGCTGCCGCCGGAATGCCTTCATCTTTCGCAGGAATATGACAGCCCGATCGGGATCCCCCACCCCTCCTTCTGCCCTCATCGATGTCGCGAAAAGTATTTAGGGGACATATTTTATCGCGCGTCTTTCGATTGTTCGTGATAGAATGCCGTCTCCAAAATAATAATCCTCGGCCATCCTTCGTCCCCCTCCCGCTTGATCCCGAAAGTTTATATCTCGCGATTATTTATAACAGTCACTACAGAGAGGCGGCAAATTACGCGCTCGCGCGCGCGTTTTCCCCGATTTTACGCGCTCGCTTTAATGGCACTCATTAAATTTGCAGCTCTTAATAATCGCGGCAACGACGACGACGACGACGACTTGTTTTCCCGATAAGGAGCCATTACGTCCATTTTATATTCGCGAGATGTAAATAAGTTTGCGCAAAGGGGGTTGGGCGGAATTATGCGCCCGAGTAATGTGTCAGTGTATCGGTGACGGGCTCCCATAACCGTATTGCGCAAGATTATTTTCTCGGTCGTAAAAAGTTACGTGCCACGGGCCTTACACGGGCTCGTGCGACAGGCACGGATGTGAGACACGAAAATTGCCGCCGGCCCCATGGGAGCTTTTACGATGAGAATCAGGTGCGCCAAACCGAGCCTAGCTGATGAGTCGTTCTTTTTCATCACGTTCAAGTAGTCCTTTGCTTCTTTTCAACGCGATGCTAAAAAGGAGAAATTGTACGCGTATACAGACATTACGCTTGTTACGTTAATCCGACGAGAATTAAATGCGCGTTAGTTAATTTAGAAAAAAAAAGTATTTCGTATGCTCAGAATTTTGCGAACGTACGGTATTTCCGCCAGGGCGTAGCGGAAAGAGCATGGAATCGAATTGAACAAACAATGGAATTCATCGTCGAGAATTCGAAAGTGGCCGGGTGTATAAATGCATTTTATAATTAGTTCCCCTACCGCGGGCTAACGTTAAATTAACGTCAGAGGCCCTCGGCGTCATGACGAAGTTGCCGTGCACGATAACTTGCGAGCGCGATACGTCATACCGCTGGCGGAGGAAATCCATGCGGGCCGGCATAATGCGAATCTATAACTCAACTCATGCATCTCGTTATCGCGAATTGGTGTGCGCCGTCTCATCGAACCTCGATGACAAGGGTCTCCCTGTGCCGCTCGAGCTCCCCTGGCATATCTATTCATCAAAAACAGAAAAAAAAATATCGTACCAGCTCAAAACAAACGTTTGGTTTGCAAACGACAGTTTCAAACTCGTTTTTTATGTTCCTTTTATTAGTGTTTATTCTGCAGCACGAGCGGGACAAGTTTATCTGATAGATATAACGATCGTAAGTGAAGATTGCCCGACCTAATAATCATGCGTAAATACACACGATGCCGGAAAATGCTGACGGATTGTTCCGCAAAAATACATAGGTAGAAAAAATAAAGCTGACGAAAGAAACGCGCATTCGATATATATATATATATATATTTAAATAGGGTCCACCGTATTTGCGCCATTATTATGGCTCGAGTACGATGCCATATCGGCATCGTGTGTGCTCGACGATCCGTATATAACTGACCTATTTACGTGGCCGCGGCCATGGCGCCGAGATACGTATCGCGATCACGTGTGTACGCTAGCTCGATCGTATTTTCGTGCAGGCCCAGGATCATGCGAGCCCCGGTCGTGCGCCCCGCGTACAAAAGTGAGTTACCACCCTCCCCCTGCGAGGAGTAAGAAGGGTAGTGACTCACCTCGAAGAGACGCGCGATCGTTTCCGACACGTAGATATAGGAAGCGGCTACTTAGAAAATGGCGAAGACGAGACAGGAGCTGAGGATCGGTTATTAAAATTTCGTGTCCGCGCCGGAGATTCCGCAAATTCTAACACCATCAACGGTAGCATTCCGCTGCGGATTCACAGGTACGTATATGTGTGTATACATATGTGTGTGTGTGTGCGTGTGTACGGGCGCGATTTTTATTATCACTCATTCCGCGCAGTCCCTTCTTCGTCGGCATTCCGGACTGTCAGACCGCGCATTCACGCCGTCGAATTCCTACGGAACTGCATCGGCGGGGGTGGGATATCTATCTTAATGGAAGCAAGACGTCTCGTCGTCGCTCGTGCCGGCGGAACTCAATATAAACGGCGGAGGGAAGAATTTTATGGCGCATCACACTCAACACTCGCTAAATCGCGGCTTATTGCGATATTATACGCGGAATAGTTCGCACCGCCGACGTGAAGTGAATCGCCTCGTTCAATTTCACCGTTACGAAACTACAATCAGTTAGTTCCAAACGCTTAAAATCTTTCGTTTTGGATTCGAAGCATCCGGCGATTTTCAGGGGAACGAAGAACGATGTGAGAAACGCAAAATGTAAAAGTGCAAAACGGCAGTGTAAAACGGCTGGAATCTCAAAGGTGCAATGAGCCGGCCAAATTAATTCGGCAATGTCCTCGACCGCTTGCCACCGCGCAATCGTGTTTAATGACCGACATTCTGATTTCGCGTGTGCAGTTTGTAGGATCGGTTTCTCACGGGACTATAGTGATGTATAACGTTGGCAAGCGCGGTGAGACCACGAATCTGCCCATGTGAATTTGCCTATTGCGTTCAATACTTCTTAAACTACACGACAGTTTTGGTAGTTTAGGCTATTCGGTAACCTCAGTAATCCCAAGGGGATGGAACGTTAAAGCGCATAAAAACGCTCTATATCATGCCTAGATCATGCGTGGACTGCAGAAGAAAGTTTGAGAGAAAAAATAAAAATTTTAATTTGATCTCAAAAATCAATACATTTTATCTTATTTTATAAAAATAACAAAAAAATAAAAATAAAAGAAAAAAAATATCAAATGATCCTTAATAAACAGCGATATAAAAAGATCAAAACATTTTTATAATTGTTCTTTGTAATTTGTTATTGTAGTCACTTAGCGACGTAATAAAAAGTAACGAGAGGAAAATTGTTCTCGCATTCAACTAGATTGTGAGATATAGTTATAACATTACCAGCGAAAACTGATAACATGGTGGTATATATAACGCGGCACGTATTTCCTTCGTTCCCCTTAATTTCATTGGCAATATTCAGATCTTCACGAGTTCCTGAAATCCCATCTATCCTAT